AAAGAAGTATAGTATAGAAGTATGTATAGAAAGAAGTTAATGAATCCTGCTGAATCAGTTAACTGTTGTGGCCCGGCAGGAGCCGTTATAGCTGCCGCCAGACTCCAACAGCGAGGGGGCTTATGAGTCGGCCTCGGAGGAGGTGGAGGACCCTGGACAGGGTGTCGACTCCGAGCAGGGCAGGGCAGGAAAGACTGGTTGGCCACCAGATGGCGGCGGAGCCTTGGATCAGAGGGAGTGTTCAGGGAAACACTTGTGAGTTGTTGCAGGATGCACCCCGTCGAAGGGTTACTCGACGGAAGGAACAACTGAGAACTTACAGGAGATGATTGGGAGCAGCTGTTGCTCATTGGGATGCTCTCCTGAGCATAAAGGGAAATGTTTGTGGCACGCCCTGGTTGCAGGAGTCAACGTTCATGTTCTCGTTTGTGTTCACAAACCGAGAGAAACCAACTTGGATAAGTGGCTTGATGAAAGAAGCCTGTTTGCAGTGCTGTGTGAGTGTTTTAGGACTTTCTGCCAGAGCTATTATTTTGTTTATTTGGGCTTGCAGCCAACAAGAGCCTGGACTGATTAAAACATTCTTTTGTACTTCTGCGTTGGCTTTCGTTCCTGGACGGTGAAGGGGGGGGGGTCAGAACAGGTTAGTATAGTACTTTAAAAAAGGGACGTGGTTGCTCAGTGGCTAAGATGCTGAGCTTGTCAATCAAAAGGTCAGCAGATCAGCGATTTCCCTAGCGCTGCGCAACAGAATGAGCTCCAATTACTTGTCCCAGCTTCTGCCAACCTAGCAGTTCAAAAGCACGTAAAAATGTAAGTAGAAAAATAGGAACCACCGTTGGTGGGAAGGTAACAGTGCTCAGTGTGCTTTTGGCATTTAGTCATGCTGACCACATGGCCACGAAGACGTCTTCGGACACCGCTGGCTCTTCGGCTTTGAAACGGAGATAAGCACCCCCCCTAGAGTCGGGAACAACTACCACATATGTGCAAGGGGAAGCCTTACTTTTATCTTTATAGTACTTTAAACATGGACTGGAAATGATCTGGGAATAGTGAAAACCAGTTAAGGTTGGCCTTAATCTAGTCAATTGACCAGTTAATCTGGTCAATTCTCTTACATTAGCATTTTATAATAGCTGAAGTTTCAGGACTCCCACCAGGACCTTTGTTGCCATAGACAGACCATCTCTATACAATAAGGATCTTTCCTAGCTAACATCTTTGTGACCCTGATCCTGGTTGTATGCACCATGTGTCTGGGTCCAAGAACCAAGAATGACATATGCCGTTACCTCTGAGTCGTTTCTTTCTTTCTTTATTTTTATTATAAATTTTATTTTTTATTTTCAAAACAAACACAACACATAAAATCTTCCTTCTTTACNACACTCGCTGCCTTCTGCACCTCAAAAATAATAAGACCTCCCCAAAAATAAGGCCAAGCACTTATTTCAGGGGTCAAAAAAAGGACTCTGTGTTATTTTCAGATAAACACGGTATACACAATAAACACAGACAAAAATCTGTTTTGCTCAGTTTCTCATTATATCAACTTAGAGTTACCAACTCCAGCTGAAACTATCCCTTGAGTTCGCCCTACCCTGTAGTCACCCCCTCAATAAATAATTACTGATTGAAACGAATGTAAACATTTAAAAAGAGAAATAGAATCATAGGGTTGGAACTGAGCTTGGAGTCTTCAAGGCCAACCCCCTATTCAAAGTAGGAGTCTTGTGTCTGTGGAGATTCTCGTTCCTCCAGGCCATGGTTCAACCAAAGGTGCTTTTTCAAAAGGCAACTGGATTTTGTTTTTCCTTGAAGACGTTTCATTTCCCATTCAAGAAGCGTCTAAGGTGCCTTCCAACTCTTTTATTCTGCACTGCTTCATTCCAGTAAGAAAGTTTCTGTAAATTTGGGGGGGCTGCTCTTTGTGTGACAATTTTTCTGTGTTTCCCCACCCACCCCCCAGGTTCTGGTGGGAGAACCCTGGTGTGTTCACCCCAGCCCAGCGACAGGCTCTTAGCCAGGCCTCATTGCCACGCATCATCTGTGACAATACCCACATCCGTGAGGTACCTCGGTTCATTTTCCGAGCCAACCAGTATCCACGTAATTTTGTCAACTGCAGCACCATCCCAAGGGTCAGCCTCTTTCCATGGAAAAAAGGTTCCTAAATAGATCGGTGAAGGTAAGAGGCCATTGGTTTCTGACGCAACTCTGTAATCTTTAAATTTGCATTTATGAACTTTTCCTTGGGGTATCATTTAGCAGTTATAAAACAATATTCTCCAGAAGAGAATGCAAACATGAGTGCATGCATGTGTATGAGTGAGTGGGGTGGGAGAGTAGGTGGGTGTCGCAGAGGATAGGTGCAGTCTTTTCTGAGCCGTCTCCTCCCCACTATAACTATTCCCAGCAAAAGGCAAGTAAGTAGAGCCATATGTGTGCATGCATACACACACACACACACACAATCTGATTTCACACAACTTGCTAAATTATAATAACAACAGCTGTTTCCAAAATATTCTAATATCGAACTGTTGGAAGAAATGCCCATCTAGGTTCAATTCCAAGTGGGGAGAAAGACACTGGAAACGTGGAGACTGTTTGGAATGATGGTTTTATGGCGGACAAGACCACATGGTTTGAGGTCCTGGACAATCAAGTACATGGGGGAGAGAGAGAGAGAGAGAAATTTATACCTGCTCTTGGGCCCCGTCTCGGAGCTTCCTGTTCCTGTGTAAGAAATATATTCTGATTGGTTGTCAGACTCCCATGGGGCCATGCAAGGCTAACTTTGTAAGTCAGCGATGATGAACCTTTTTTGGCTCGCGTGCCATAAGGGGGGAGCGCAGGGGGGTCATGGCAGGCATGCCACACCCATAATGCAATGCACAACACCCCAGTGCGCATGCACGCATGAGAGGCACTCCCCACCATTTTTTGCATGCTTTTTTCGCCCTCCCCAGGCTCCAGAGGCTTTAAAGGTCTCCGAAGGTCATAAAAATGACCCTACGAGCAAACCAGAACTCACTTCCAGTTTGCTCGTAGGGTTGGTTTAAGCCCTCCGGAGGCTACGAGCAAACCGGAAGTCCGTTCCCAAACTTCCGGTTTGCCCATAGGGTTGTTTTTTTGTGCTCCAGAGCTCCAAAGCTCCTGAAGCCTCTGGAGGGTCTCCAGGGGGGGAGGCTCTTTTCGCCCTCCCCAAGCTCCTATAAAGCTTCGGGAGCCAGGGGAGGGCGAAAAATGGCTTTAAAAAAGGCTGAACTCAATTGGCTAGCGCGCGCATGCATGCTGGCCAGCTGACAGGGCAACGCCTCACGTGCCCTTACAAATGGCTCCGCGTGCCACCTGTGGTAGGTTCACCATCCCGGTTGTAAGTTGTCTTGAGTCAACCTTGATTGAATCTTGCTGAATGATGTAATGAAGGGGCTTTGGGTAATTCCTATTATAGCGTAATGGCTTTGTCCTGGTTTGGATCTTGAGTGTGGGCTAATCCTATCACCCTGGATCTGAAGGTCTTTTGTAGATGAGATGACCCAGTCTTTTGTCTTGTAGATAGGATGGCCCAGTCTTTCTGCGGCTATTAACAAATGTGGGGGCTGATTTCCAAGAGCATGTTTCTCCTTTTCTCACCCAGGGAGGTATAATATTCTGCCTTTTTAATATTTCCTAGAACATTTCATTCTTCTAGGAGAGGGAGGGGTGCTAACTTCCTACAAAACAAACAACCCTATTACAACTTAATGTGGTTTCCTGTAACATTCTGAACTGTGAGCCAACCAATCCAAATTAGTCTTGTCTAGCATGATGCACAAATCCAGCTCATACATACAGTATAACATGTGATACTGGAAATCCCCAATGACATGCAATCTTGTCATTCAGGGATTGAAACCTGAGACTCCCTATATACTGTAATATGGACAACTCTGAGCGCATCCGATTCCTTGAGAAGATCCAGGAAAAAATTAAGATTGTTGGACAAACAGGTCCAAAAACAGCCAGGGAAGTGATTGAAGCCTGGGAAATGGGTACTCTGTAGATGGGGAAAGCCTATTCTGTTAGAAGTCGCCTTCTAATGTGTTGTTGGCGTTGACACCAAGTGCAGGTTTGGTGCCCTGCTCCTAAACCAACCTCAAATTCCTTACTGTGCACGATTTTTAAAGGAAACTTACCAACAATTCTATCTTACCTCTTCATCCTCCCTCACTTTGAGATCATCTTCTCCAGAGTTTTTTCAGTTTATCTAATTAAAGCACCATCGTCATTTTGCTCTGCAAGCAGCAATTCAGTTTTGCCAGCTCCTATTTAATTTGATGAAACAGAATAATTTTCAACATTTCCTTTAAAGAAGAAAGAATTTTGGTGAAATACAAGAGATAAGAGTGGGTTGGAAGACATGCCAGAGTAGCTTTTGATCTTACTGAGCTTGGTTGTTTTGTTCCTATAATAGGTTCATAATTATTTTTCTGATTTTTTCTCTCTCTCCTCTATAGAAGAACATCCCAGCAAGTTCTGCCAGTAACCTGGAATTTCTGTTTTTGAGAAAGCGTTCTTTAACCTGCTTTAGCTGTTTCCCCTCGCAGCCATTGCTTATGTTTAATCTTCTGGAGCAACAAGAAAGGAATGCCAAATTATAATATCCACTCTGCAATGTTCAAGATGTCCCCTTTTACAACTCATTAAAGGCAATTAAATTATAAAAGGTTCTCTATTTGGGGAGTGCATGAAATACTATTGTGATTCCCTTCTTGAGACAGAATAGAACAGAATTTGTGGAATGTACAACTTTGTTGTCTACCCCAAGTCAGACAAGGATGCTAGCAGTGGTGAAAAGGAAAAGCTCTGTGCAAAGAGACTGTAACAGAGGTGGGTTGCTCCCGGTTCGGCCCGTATCGGACGAACTGGTAGTGGCAGAGATGGGAGGCTCTGCCCACCCATCCACCCCGCATGCTCAGAAGCGTTACACACCCATATGCACGAGCAAACCGGTAGTAAAAAAAATGGAAACCCACCACTGTACTATAAACCCCCATTAAAAAAATGATTGACATTTCCCCCCAGGAAACTTTAGAATTTACATATAAACATATATAAAAATATTCGCTCATTTCCACATTTCTACAGAAATGTTAGAAGCTTGAATCTGGAGAGAAATGAAGGTGGATGCATACTTATTTTGCCTTAGAGAGCTCTATTTCACAGAAAACCAGAAGAATAAACCAGACAATATTGCGCCACATAAAACAGCAGCCTACAGGCATAATTATCTTTTTATATTTATGAAATGCAAAAAGTATTGACACAGCTCTTTCGATTCATCCATTTTTATTAATGATGCAATCCTTTCAACAGTTTGCTTTAAAAATAATCAGATCATTCTCCCAGCTATGCCTAAGCAATTATTAGAATACAAAACAATTTTTCGCAACAGACTGTTAATCCATATACATACATTATATACCAACATCCACACCCAGAGTTTATAAGTGACAGTGCTAAGATGCTCAACTACTGCCAGTGTACATAACTGTAGAGAAGTATTTAAATCCACCTTCGTGTCTGTAAATTTTTCAGAGCCCCATTATTCTAAAGAGAATGAAAATGTCTACTCCTGATTCAGATTGCTCTTAAAGGTCAAAGTTAACACAATGCACCTGATCCAAAGTTTTGAGTTTTCATTGTTGGCTAACAAAACAGCTTTGTGGAGCAGGAGCTCAAGATAGTGATTAGAGTACTGGGATGCCCTTTACATGGTGCTACCATTGAAGACTACTCAAAAACAGCTGTTGTTGCAAAATGAAGTAGCCTATTTGTTGGCAGATGAAAGCCACTACTCATGTATAACATCAGTACTGATTCTGCAATGGTTCCCAATAGGTTCTGGCTACAAATCAAAGTGCTAGTTTTGATATGCTCTACATGGGGCAGCCCTTGAAGAGCATTCGGAGACTTCAGCTTGTCCAGAATGCAGCCGCGCGAGCGATCGTGGGTGCACCTCGGTTCACCCACGTTACACTATCCTCCGCGAGCTGCACTGGCTGCCTATTGGTCTTCGGATACGCTTCAAGGCGCAAGTCGTCACTTATAACGACTATGAATACCTTCATGGTATTGNATATATATATATATATATATATATATGAGTATTTAATGCTGAGTGGTTAAATTGAACTGGCACATGTGCATGAAAACTGGCTCAGTAAAATGGAAGGCCAAGTGGCTTCAACCAAGCCAAGTAGTGTGTTAAATTTAATAGAAGTCAAAATATATCAGGAATCCATTCTCTGACTAAGGATACTAGATTAGCTGTCTTAAAAATCACCGCTAGGACAGAGATTTTATTGCTGTAATCAGCATAAATTGAGGAACAGGAAGAAGAACCACAACAAAGCTAATGGTCAGATAAAAGAAATTTGGGTCTAGGACAGAAATATACTTTGAAAAAGAATCTGAAATATGACTCACCCTACTTCTCAAGAGTAACTCAATGGACAAGAGCCTATGGTAGGGAACAATTGAGGGCAAAAGAAGAAGGGGATGACAGAGAATGAGGTGGCTGGATGGAGTCACTGAAGCAGTGATGTGAGTGTAAAAGGACTCTGGGGGATGGTAGAGGAGAGGAAGGCTTGGAGGAACGTTGTCCATGGAGTCACGATTGGTCGCACATGACTGCATGACTAACAACTCCAACAACAACTTTTTGAAGATAAGGGAAGGAAGGAGAAGTGCATTCAGACCTGCAGGATTCTGTCACTATAATCTTTACAATGAATGTAGTAGCTTGTATGTCTTTGGTATCCAAGTTTCGTCTACCTTGGAGAGCTGACAATTGTGAATTAACTTTGCTTCTCAATAGTCTCCTTGTCTGAGCCAATTGATTGTCTTGAGGAATTTAAACATCAATCCCAACATTAGAAGATCAGGCGTTTAAGGCAAATACCCAGTAGATTCACTAGAACAAAATGTTGTAGTAAGTCAAATAAATGCATTTAAATTGGAAGAAGAAGGAGACCAGTACATTGGGAAATCACAGAGTAAAATCTATGCATTATCAATGTCTGTGGGTAATTCCTTTTTCTGCTTTATAATAGTTTATTTGAGGGGGATTCATCTGCAGAGTTTTTACAGCTATCAACAGAGCTCAAGCAAGGACTGATTTGGATCAAAGTCAAAATTGTGCTAGGACATCTACTCTCTTTATTTGCCTTTTATTTCTTTGAACTTCATTTTTTCTCTCCTTTTCTTCCCAGAATAGGAAGTACAAGATATTTAATCATTATGTTTTTACATTTAGGACAAAGTGTGTTTAAAATTAGTCTGATTCTTACAAATTGTCTATTCCTATAATCATAACACATTTAGAAAGGAGTTCCATAGTTTTTCATAAGAAGAACATAACTGCAGCTTCAGGGAAATCAAATAGAAGAAATGGTATTTGTATTTGTATTTTATTATTTGTATGCCGCCCTTCTCCGGGAGGACTCANTGTAAGAAACAGATGTAAATAAACACCATGCAAATGCTCATCAGGAAGCTGTGAAACTTTCCTTGTGCCATGCATGAAGCCAATGGCATGTAGAATGGAATATAGAACCACTAAATTATATATACATTATATAGACCTTCAATTCTGCAATGCAAGCCTTATCATTTTTATTGTTTCCTCATTTGTCTGTTTCTGCATGAATACCCAAGCCACACTCAGACCAAGTCTGCATCATGTTTGCATATTCACTATACATCAGGACTGTCTTAGTTAATGTGATATATATTTTGGACACTCGTATTTTAATCCTTTTATTTTGGTTTTTCTTTTTCTATTGTTAATATTTTATCCTTCAATCCCCCCTCCTTAGAATATGCAGCACAACATTACTCTGATCCAACACATTGCTGCGAGAGATCATTTCATTCATTACATTCAACACAAACTCCTTCTAGCTGAGTCTATAAAAGTAGAAAGCAGATGGCATTAAGGCAGGCTGGAGAGAGGAAAACAGAAGGACTGCTTTTTTGTATCTGTTTGTAACTTTCAACCAAAATATTATTTTTAAATTGATTTTGCTCCAAAACAACATGTTATTTTGCAATCAATGTCTATGAATGGAAATTGCATGACAATATTTTGAGGCCTGGAATCTTCATTAGTTACTGATATTTTTTCAAAGGAAGGAACATTTTAATTCTAATGTTCATTTTAATAATAATGAAGTTTTTAACACTTTACTTGTCTTTCATTTCACAGTTTTAATAAAACTTTCATGCTACTTTAAATTTGCATTGGGAATTGCCCAGAGTTAGTTACTCTATAAGATGGGCAGCTATATAAATGTTCTAAATATGTAAATAAAAACATGTCAGTTCAACTGATCTTTTACTGGCATTAATTCATTCATTTCCTAAAATAATCTTCAAAGCATGATTTGGATTGAGTAAATAACAAGGGAAATAAATTAAGTTCTCCCCCTTCTCCCTGGATCAGTCCTTCAATCAAATTTTGGGGTTGCCACTACAAAGAAAATGTTGATGGTTTGACATTGTGCAGTTGCTACTGTTCAAAGAAAAATCTATCTGTTCAGTTCCAAGTGGGGAGAAAGATACTGGAAACATGGAGGCTGATTGAAAAGATGATTTATTGATGAAAACATGGAGAGGAGAGTGAGGGTTTTTTGTACCCTCTCTTGGGCCTTGCCCTTGAGCTTCCTGTTCCTGTGGCAAGAACATGTATTCTATTGGCTGTGGTCAGACTTCCATGGGGCCATGTGGAGTTATGTTTGTTTTTTCTGAATCAAGTTTGGTTGAACCTTGGGCTGATGCAATGTCTCCAGGTGATTTCACAATCCAGTCAGCCCTGCTCATAGACAATCCTATTATGTCCTGGAGGGTCATCTCTTAATCCCATCACCCTGGAGCTGGAGGTCTTTTGTCTTACAGATAGGCTGGCCCAGTCTTTCTTAATGTACACCAAAATATCTGCTGGGCAGGGATCTGGGTTTCTGGGTTTCTATTTCTATATTTATTTCTCTTTTAGGGGAAATATTTTATCCTGCCTTCTTAAATATTTCCTAAAATATTTCATACTTCTATGAGAGGGGTGGGTGCTAATTTTCTACACTACCATATTGTATAAACAGCTAGGCAGAGAAGGCACATAGAATACCTTTCTAAATCATGTTCATTGTTAATGATCAACTGGTATAAAGAGCAACCATACTACAATTTTGGATGTTTATTTTTTTTATTGGATGGTCATTCTTAGCTTGCTATTCTTCAGGGACTATGTTAAGGGGGGAAATATAATTACTGACTAATACGACACAATTGTTGTAAGAATTTGTACATTGCTTAATTTTGGATCAAGTATAATGTTACAGGCAGGAAGCTGCTACTTCAATTCTAAAGGACAATAATTGTTAATGACAAAGGGGAAAACAGGACACATGTAATGTATTCCTTGTGGTTCATCACTATATATATATATNTGTGTATGTGGATACATGCAAATCCACATATGTGCAGAACTGTACTGTATATCTTGTAGACATTTATTAAGAATCTCTAGGATTGGTTTCAAGTGAGCATGGCAGCTCCCCATTTTAAAAGCTATGTATCGTTCAGATTTTTCCTGTGCTTTCAATCTACTTTTTCTTTGGAAAAATGCCTGAGAAGTTGCTTTCCTCTCAAATGAACATAGTATGTAGT